ACTGAACTGGGTTGTGGGCCGTGCGCTGTATGTCAACCATGGATATGTTTATTTATTAGAATTAATCTGTGCGAACGCCTTACTGTTGTTATTCAAATACCAGCGCTGCAATCCACAATCTATTTAAAGTCCTGCTCTAGCTAATTGGACTGTTCCGGAGTGAATTGCTAATTGCGGCCAATATCCATTCATAGATTTACAACCCCAATATTAAGCATGTAGGTTTGGAAATAAATCCCATTGATTTCAGTGTCATTCGCTTCCGGGTAAGCCTGCTGGTAGGCCCGGCGATCCTAAGTAAGTTTTGACGGGATTAAAACAAAAACAAAAAACATTTTACAGTAAATATCCCCAAAGGTAAGCTCCACAGATTTCAGTATCACTCGTTTCTAAAACCTGGGGATCACATTCCTGATTTTAAAGGCTTGGCGTGATTATTTGGGAGCAAGTCTCATGACAGAAACGAAAGTTTACTCCCAGTAGACCCACTGAAATTAATGGACCCCGCTCAGTCATGTTCATTCAATTCAATGGGTCTACTCTGAGTAAAATGTAGTTGCATACCATCCAGAACATCATTCTATAGGTAGTACACTCAGGACCCAGCTGTAATAAACGAAACAACACACAATTTGCCCAACACAAAATGTGGAAGGGTAAACGTGGTTTTCTTGCAGCTTTTCTTCCCCTTCCAAACTTCCTGACCTCTTCCTCTCAATCGGGAACTGCTGCCAAATGCCAAGGCATAAACTTTCTGGCACAGTTCGTTGCCTTTTTGCTGAGTATAAATATCCGTTACAGGGCCTTAGAAAAGCAGAACGGGCAGGTGGTGGGGGTGGTGGAATCAAGTCAGGTTAGGGGGCCGATAAAGCAGCAGAAACTTTCTCTCGATTCACACGACAGAATCAGAACTCCAAATTAAGATGTTTTGGGGAAACTCCTACCATGTCAGCATGCAAGCGAGGCTCTATCCTGTTTTGGAAGAACACCCAAGGGGCACACATAAGATCCAGATCCGGAACAGACTTCGGAGGAAAGAAGCCGCACAGTTTTAAAATGGAACTTAGTTCCATGAAAGCGGCAAAGGGGAGTCTAGGCTCACTAGAAAAGGAAGTTCCACTCAACACAATGAGGGCACACTCCCAGGTAAGTGGAGAGAGGACCGCAGCCTTTCTGATCCTCTAATGGTTTTGCTTCGGAGCACATGTGCTGAGAATCCCTTGGAAGGGTGGATCAGAGCAAAGGTCCATCTGGGCCAGCTCTCCAGAGTGTCATTTAGAGAGGCCGGGGAACATTTGCCTTCCCCAGGCCCTAATTTCAGGCTACGTGTGATAATTTCTCAGGAGCACTGTATATCTCCGAAGACAGATAGGTAGACACACACACACACACACACACACACACACACCCCCAAATACTCTTCAAATGCAGTCTTGGGTTGTTGTTGCTTTGTCTTGCTTTTTTGCAGTTTAATCTTGAGCATATAGGAAAGCAGGTCTTTGAACTTTGCTATGCTTCCTGTCCCGCATTTGAAGTTTGCCTCCATTAACCTAAAATGGTGTCCTTCCCTGCTCCCTGTTTCCAACAGTGGTCAGCTAGATGCCCCTCTCAGGTAGTGATATAGTTATCTACGGGTGGATCGCCAGACTCATTCCTCCTCTGAGCCATTCTTACGCGATCTCAGCAACCATGTTAGCAATAAAGTCCCAGCCCAACAGGTAAAGTCCAGGAGTAGTGTTTAACACAGAGGTCACGAATCCGGCTGGAAAATTATTTGGCTGAACTGGTTGGGAAATCTGGTTGAACTGTTCGGGAAACTGTGCAAGAGCACGATTCAGATGCTGCTTGCACCAGAGGTCTACTTCCTAGATGACCTGTGTTTTCACACGAGACAATTAAAAGTGCCTTTGAGTTCTCCGCACCACATGTGGGTGTTGTTAGCGCAGAAGAGGAAAAACGAATGTACGTAGCTAGAGTTTACAATCTCATTCTAGACTAATTCTAGAGTAACTCGACTGAACCTCAAAAGACACGGTTCCAGAAGACCTTAGTGCCACGCGTGGCGAAACCCTTCAGTTACTGTTAATATAACCTGTTTAAGCTTCTGCTTGCATCGTTTAGACACCGTGCAAAAAACCGCACAGCTTCGACCTTCTGCTGAGTCACCGCCAATAGCCCCAATGGATCTTACTTCTCACGTAAGTGTGAGAACGACATTGTGTCATTCGTTTCCCTTCACTTTCGTTTAGGTCTGTCAACATACCCAATATCTATAGACCACAGGTAGTCCAAAACTCCCGAAATTAAAGCATTCTGGTCTCATCAGGGTTCAAATTGTCTTAAAGCTAAGTACTTCTGCCTAACTGCATTGAGAACTTTTTTTTACTGGGTGGGAAACTTCTGCCTACAATTTTCACCCCCACTCGGATATATTCTACTGTTGCGTAGATTGCCGGCCAATCGCAAACAGATTTGTTGGAAATAAGCGCTATTTATATAATTGGAAATTAATCCAATTTCCTAACGCATCCCCCGAATGGTAACATACTGGGCACAATCCACTAGGAAATCCTATTCTACAAGCCACATTGAAGCTGAAGCACACATTTAGGTTGCCCCAGACTAAGCCCACCTGAATACAGTTGTTGTTGTTGTTGTTGCTGTTGTTACTACTACTGCTACCCCGCCTTTCTCCCAAAACCAAGACTCAAAGCGGCTAGGAACTTACATTGTCAATAGGTAGGGCTGGCGCAGGAAAACTTCCTTTATTAAGAAGTACACCCAATAGTTTTAACTTAATTCCATGTTTACGTAACAAGTGGAGTGGTGTTGGGGCGCAAATGTGTCTTTTGGATACTTGCTCTGAACTGGAAGTCCGGCCCTAAAATCGTAGTTTTGTGAGGAATACCATTGTTTACACGCAGAGAAGGGAAAAGCAGCCTGCACATGTTCAGAGTCCCTCTATCGCTCGTGGTTAGGGTGAGTGAATGCAGTGCCAGTTAATGCTTATGTAGCTAAAGAAGTGTTTGTTAGAAGAATAGATTATAGGGCTAAACTCTCCCTGATCCAGAATAAATCCTGGTTTAGGATGGGATGGTTTATGATAGCAAAAGGAAGTGATAGCCTGAGGTAAGGGGCAAAACTTCTGTTTGTATGAACAGTAATGCTAATTAATACCGGAGGATCGTACAGAAAAGGAAAATAATTAAGTATGAAACACCTGAATAAAGAGGAATGGACATTTCTGGCAGCCCAAAACTGTTTGTATGAGAGGCTGGCTGATTTTAAGTGATATTGGGTGGGTGAGGACTGCAGATATTTTTCCATGCGGAGGAGTCGGGGTTTCTTATTCAACTGGTGCCTTCAGTCTGCAACTCTGGATGTTTATTATTCTTATTTGAGTCTTTTAAATATTTTAAGACTTAAGGTTGCAGCAGATTACTACAGATGTAAAAGCGTTGAAGGTTTATATCATATCATTGCCGTAAAATTAAAGAACAAGACTTCACGTTTGATGGTTGTTCTCTTTAAAAGTTCATCAAAGTCGACTTTCAAAACTATATATATATATATATATACACACAATGGCCTAGGTACGAAAACGTTCGTTTTGGTTGCACGCTAACACTAAAATCGAAATCCACTCGGGAAATTCTCCTACATAAGCTTGACTGCGATGAACGAAACCTGTACAAATGTAGTGCCCTTGTGCCCTTCTCTTTACTTTTTTTGTGGAAGTAGCGGCGGTCTTACGCAGGAGACCTTCCTATTCCCTAAAAACGAAACAACCCCACTCCCGTGCTTCCATTCAAATGGTTCGAAATTCAATTCTCTCCTTTTAAGAAGCAAAGTGTGGCAAAGTTCAGATAAATTATATCATTTGTAAAATAGTCCAAATATTGAGTTGTGATGCTGAGCTGCTCCAAAGCTCTGCTTACGGTGGGAGAAGGAAGAAGTAGTAGTCAGGACTGACATCTGAAGCATCATATATACTTACTCAGAAGTAAGTTCCACGGAAACGGGGTCCAGAGTAGGGGGGGGGGGTAATTTACTGAGGAGCAGCAAAAGGGAAACCTGAAGTAGCTTTGTACCTTGCTCATTTAGTGTAGAGGGGAGCTTTTCTAGGTCAGCCCTTCCTGGCCGACAAAAGGTAAAAAAGCAGAAAACCAGAAGGATCTATCTATGTATCCCTCCGGGAAATCGTCCTTTTTCAAACTTCACTGAAACGAAGGCAGCCGGGCAAAAGAGTGCTGTAGTGCCGTGCTTGCGCAGGAGATCTTCCCGACAGATTTCACCCACGGGATGGCGGGGTGGGGGTGGGTGGGAGGTCCCTTGATAAAACTGAGCTAACAAAAGACTCCCATAAAGTTAAGGGGAATGACTGGAATACTTGAAAGGAGCACTTCCGGCGTACGAGGAAATGGACTGTATTGCCTGCCAAAGATCCTGCCACAATAAAGGAGCAAGCCCTTTAAGCGCTCTTCCTGTCTTTATGGTGGGGATCTCTGTGAACGAGACAGATACACAGATTGCAGATCTTTGCCAATTGGGTGTTTCCAATGTACGGTTATCTTAGTTACTGAGAAAGAGGACGGGGAGAGGGGGAGAGATCTGAGTTGTGTGGCGGCGAGTGGAGGGAAATGAGGAACTTGGAAATGTTCTCCGGTGTGGGAAAGAAGGAAGCAAGTGGGAGACGGGGTGGGGGAAGAGAGATTACTTGGGTTTTAAACATAATCCCAGATGTGCAGGTGATTCCCCCCCCCCATGCTCCAGATTATGAAAATCAAAAGAAGGGAGCCTAAAAAAAGTTTGGAATCACCTATGCCCTCAATCCGGTTTCAACCCGAGAGCCCTTGATTAAAAGCATGGTCTCCTCCTCCTCCCTGGAGCAAGAGGGACGTTCTCCTGCGCAAGCCCCGCCTTGGAGAAGTGATAAACTCCCATTCACTTCAACGAGGCTTGCGCAGGAGCAGGGGTGCCAATTTGAGTAGAATATTTGGGGGGCCAGGTAAACCAGCATAATCGATCGCATGACATGGTGCACACTATTTTATTGGCAATGCCCATCAACTTTTTTGGGGGGGGCCCTCAAATATTTTATTGGGGGTCCCCTCGGCTCGTAGGAGTTGGCTGCTATGCGCAGGAGAACTTCCCGCTAGATTGATTCGCCTTCCTCTCTCATGGCATCGACGCACAAGTTTCTAGGGTCCTCCGCGCTTCTGCTTGACTGCGGCTGAGCTGGAAATTGCCAGAGACTTCCTTTTTAGCCTCTCTCTCTCCCGCGAATCCACTGCCGTGCGAGAGACATTTTTAATTAACAGGCCCTGGTGCGCACTCACAAACCACAGTAAAATGCTTTGCAACTTCATCCGGCGTAAATCTAGAGCGAGGCCGGGGGTGGAGCTTCGCAGCGGCCTTGTTTGCTTCCAAGATTTGCCGCACGGCCTCCCGCTGCGCCGTAAATCCGGCGCTAGGCCTCTCTCGCGGCCTCCCCGTCCCCCCTGGACGATTTGCGCGGCGCTTTGTAGGCCTAGAACGGCTGTCACCGGAAACCGTCAGAATTATCTCCCCCCCCCCCCAACATACAGAGCAAGCAAGCAAAATTAATAATAAAAATAATAAGTCGAGGCGAATAAACTGGAGTAAATCAGGTAGTTTTATGTTCTTGTGTGTTAAAAACGAATTCCCAACAACGTGAAACTACCTAATTCACCAAGCAGTTCTAGTTCATTCCTGTGTGTGTGTCAAAGGCTAACGAGGCTCCAGGAAAAGCCCTCAGAGCGGCCATTTTGTTGGGCCTCACATAGGCGCGGGCGCTGACTTACTCGCTCTCTCCCGCCTTAATAGGAAAGCGTTGCTAGGGAACAAACGCGACAAAAGGACTCTATTCAAAAGCCAAATTAAAAAAAAACCACAAAACACAACACCCCACCATTTCCCGAAAACTACTATTCAAATTCTTTCCTGTGCGTGGTGTGTTAAAACGGATCTGTCCTGCAGGACTTTACAAAGCGGAGGGCAAACGCACCAGGGGGAGACACTAAAAATGCCGTTGACTTTGAAAAACAGCACGCTATTTTCGGATCCTAAAGTTGAAAGCGGAGGGAGAGGGAGCCAGGGAAAAGTGTTTTTATATAGAGTTCAGACAGAGAGTGGATTTGGCAGTTTAAGAAACTGGGGTGGGGGGGAATAGGGTTCCTTTCTAGAGCGCGCATGTAATACAGTTCGAACCACAACGAACTACACAATCAGAACACAAGTGAGAGGAAAGTTCACCTGCACAAGCCCCATTGAAACGAAGGGGATCCGAGTAAGAACCGTGGGCGTAGCAAAGGGGAGGGGCAGCTCCCCCATCATAAAAAAAATCAATAAAAATACATAGCTAACTGATGGTTCTTCCCACCCCAACAAAAGGCATGCTCCCCCCTAACAAAAATGATGGCTGCGCCCACGGTAAACATCTTGGATTCTGCCTTTGATCTATTTTTTTAGGCTGCTATCCTAACCACACTTACCTGGGAGTAAACCCCATTTAAGTCAATAGGGCTTAAGTCTCTGAAAACTTAAACACCGCACTCATCTGTAGCCTTTTCTTCCTAGGAACAATTCCTTGACAAGTATTTTTAAAAGGTTGCCAGTATTAAAATGTTGATTGGATTTGAAATACGGACTAAAAAACAACCCCATCCTGCCCGCTTTCCTTAAAGGGACTTGCTCAGGAAAAAGCCCACTGAACTCACAGAATGCTCACCCTTTGAATTTCTTTGGGAGGGAAAGCAGGGAAGGAGAGAGGCAGGCAGTTGCTGGCATTTAAACTTGCCCTATCTGAATGCTGTTCTACTGTGATATAGGAGGCCCTGCTCTTTAATCATGAGGTTGGGAGGGGAGGTGGTGGTCACTTGCTGGGGGAGAAAGCACTCTGCACCTGCTCAGAGGCATTTTCCTTTTATTGTTAATTTTCATACTCCCCCCCCCCCTTTGAAATGAAAGCAATCATCAGGGCTGAGCCCTGACTACCTCTTGGTTAAATAAGGATTCTAGGTGCAGGTCTCTCTCATACATACCCTATCAGAGGAATGAGGATTCATGCTTAGATGTCCCAACAAACATAAATTATATTTTTGCATTAAATCCCTGCCATTGCCACCTATTATATGAATTTCTGTTGTTTGAGGATATCATACTCTCTCCCATTTACTCCTAATCTATTTAGAACATTAAATCTCCCCTTGCTGCCATTATGGAACCCAAAGCAGGGAAGTTAAAAGAAGTGGGGTGTTTTTTATTATTAAATAATGCAGCAGGTTACTGGGTATGAAAACCCAAGCCACAGTAAATTACCCCATTGGGTCAGATTTTTTTCTTGCTCAAATTCCCATGGAAGTTCCTTCAAAAGCATTTACAACTCCCATTCTTCTCAATGGTCTCACCTTTACACATAATAACTTCTCACTGAATATCATCTGGGTTATTTATGATGCCAACTGGACTGTGTGCCTTTTTACTGCCTCAGGCTAAAAAAATTTCTTGTGGAATGTGGGTGTGCATGTGTGTGCTCCTATGATACCTTTCATTTCAGCCTGAGTAAGAGTCCTGTGAAACTGAAAAGCTTGCATACGTCTATATTAGCCTGAAATGATAGATGTAATTCTTTCTGTATGGAACCTTTTGAGTTATGTTGACAAATTCAATAACACTATTCTAAGAGTGGCAGCCAGAGACATATTTATACCTGTAGAATACATCAAACATACAATTTTGCTACAGGATCAAGTTTAGCAGCATGATTATAGCCCTGTTATTTTGGAAGGCGTGAATGCTGAGTCGGACTGGCTTCCCTGGGGTTTTAGACTGGGATATTACTTGGTACAGAAAGCTAATTCACATTCATGCTTATCAGAAGCATTACAGATTTCGTGTCACCTCAGGTTATCATCTACACAAAGCTTCTCAGTGGAATCAGTTCTTACATTCAACAGTTCTCATCAAGGGTTGAGATATCCACACATCTACATGCATGTGTGAACTCCCCCCTCCCTAATCACATTTGTTTTAAATGACACATTTAACAGGAAGATAGGGAAATAACTCAGTATACTTACTGGGAGTGAGTTCCTTTAAAATTAATTGGAATTGCAGCCCCATTGAATGCTTAGGATAGAGGAGCCACATTAAGACTGGCTTCCAAATACTGCTGAGGAATTTTTTTTTGAATTTTTTTGATGCATAACTGCATAGTCATTAAATTTATATTTTAAATTAATAATTTCTCCTCACAACATTTGATTTATGCCCCCAAGGCAAAATAATGCTTTTAAAGAAAGCATTGGGTTAGTTAACCTGTGGCCTCCCAGATGTTGCTGGACTGTAGCTCCCATCAGCCCCAGCCAACATGGCTAATAGCTAGGGATGATAAAATTTGTAGTCCAGTAACACCTGGAGGTCCACACTTGGCATAAAGCAATGTCTGTAACAAGCCTGCACTATTTTTAAAAATTGGCTGTTCTAAATACACTTAGCAGAAAGCAAGTTCCATTGAACTAAGTAGAACTTACATCTGAGTAGATGGGTTTGGGACTGTCCTGCAGGCCTCTGAACAACTACTAGTAACAGTCCAATAGATGCCTCTGTGTTCACAGAGAGAAGATTTAAAAAATATATTTCATTAATTCAAATTCTAGTGGGAGATTAAACAAACCTTTTCACCTAAAAGAGAGCTCTGTCAAAGACCCAAGCTTGTTAATTGATCACAACCAGTCAGTTATTCAAAATATTAGCATTTTCATTACAAGCTAACTAGAGGCTTGTGTTAAAGATGTCTATGCTGATACAGACTATATATTTATTGTTGTAATTTATTGCATCTCAGCCCTTGTGAGTCTTCTGTGGAGAAGCTTTCAACCCTGTATCATGGTGCTCTCTTTTAAACATTATTCCATTGCATAACAGATCCCTGGAGCCAAAATAGTAAACAAAGGAAATGATGCAGTTCCCCCTTTGAAGAATTTAAAGTCAGTTCTCCATTGAATGTCCATGTTGAAATGTCAAGATAAACATCACAATTATGGGGAGGGGGCTAGGGTATAGAAAACAGAAGAGATATAAGGCCTAGGCAAATATAACACTTTTAAATAATGGGCTTTTGTTGTCTGCACAAGTGCTAACTGGCCAACCTTAAAATTTTTGCAGCAAGACTTTCACTACTGTCAGGTGGGATTCAATTACATTCCAGCAAATTCAGGTTGTACAGTTACAATTGACTGGGAGGGCTTGCACAACAAACCCACTTCACAAAAAACCAGAATTTTTCCTATAAGGAAAGTGAACACACTGAAATGTGTGGGATAAACATTTGGTTTTTGCAACATCATCTCATCTCTCTGCGAGCAAATAAAAATGAATGCTCATTAAATAGCCAGTGTCAGTGAATATCTCTGCAAACAAATCAGGCTCAATAAACAGGTAATCTGGAAATGCCCATAGGCCCATTGACCTTACTATATATCTCCCTGTAGGACTGATTGGTGAAGGAATAAAAAGCAACAGTATAGTAAATGCGGGGGGGGGGGGAGTCAGTGGAGCAAGGCCAGTCTGATCATGGACTAGAGACAGTGAATTCTGAATGCAATTTTGGCAGCAAAGATTGCAGAGTGGCGGATTCTGAATCCAAAAATAAAAATAAAAATCTGTGCTTATCATGATCATATAATTCTGAAATACACATGGCTGTGTGGGTATACCAGAGCTGGGAAACCTTGCCTAATTTCAGAAGCCCTTTATAAGCTATCAGTTCAGACTGAGAGTGGCCGCCGAGACCATATAACACCAGTCTTGAAAGATCTACATTGGCTCCCAGTACGTTTCCGAGCACAATTCAAAGTGTTGGTGCTGACCTTTAAAGCCCTAAACGGCCTCGGTCCAGTATATCTGGAGGAGCGTCTCCACCCCCATCGTTCAGCCCGGACACTGAGGTCCAGCGCCGAGGGCCTTCTGGCGGTTCCCCCACTGCGAGAAGCCAAGTTACAGGGAACCAGGCAGAGGGCCTTCTCGGTAGTGGCACCCTCCCTGTGGAACACCCTCCCACCAGATGTCAAAGAGAACCACAACTACCAGACTTTTAGAAGACATCTGAAGGCAGCCCTGTTTAGGGAAGCTTTTAAAGTTTGATGTATTACAGTATTTTAATACTTTTTTGGAAGCCGCCCAGAGTGGCTGGGGAAGCCCAGCCAGATGGGCGGGGTATAAATAAATTATTATTAATTATTATTATTATTATTACTACTTCTGGGAAGAGGGGTACGTCCCTCCACTCCACAGCCCACAGCAGGGTAGAAGAGAGAAGGGATAGTAGCAAGTGGAATGGACAAAGAGATGACCTTGCCCACTTTTGGCTCTGACCCACCCATTGCCAACATGCAGCCCTACCCACCAACATATTACCCCTGAGTGAATGCAGCCCACATAAGAAATAAGGTTGCCCACCAACAGGACTGGTGCACCCATGAGGCAAGCTAAGGTGACCACCTGAGGTGGCAGGATCCACAGGGGTGGTAGGTCTTTATCCCCCCCCCCGTCCCGTTCCTGTTGTAGATCTTCACCCATCCCTTCTTCCCTGACGGAGGGGGACAGCATTTTGTGGTCAGCCACAGATGCCAAAATGTCTGCTGTATGCACTCATTAAGTGTATTTGAGAAAGAACTGTAGCTCAGTGGTAGAGCATCTGCTTTGCATGCAGAAGATCCAGCTAGGGCTGAAAAAGATCCCTTGTCTGAAATCCTGAAGAGCTGCTGCCAGCCATTGTAGACAGTACTGGATTAGATGAACCAAGGGTCTGACTCTGAATAAGGCAGCTTCCTATGTTCCTATGTAAATACATGATGGCTATTACAACTACTAGAAATTGCCTAAAATTTGAGTCAATCTATCTAGCAATACCAAGCATTGTTATATACACTCAACTACCTCCATATGATGGGACCCAGGTGGCGCTGTGGATTAAACCACAGAACCTAGGACATGCCGATCAGAAGGTTGGCGGTTCAAATCCCCGCGACAGGGTGAGCTCCCGTTGCTCGGTCCCAGCTCCTGCCAACCTAGCAGTTCGAAAGCACGTCAAAGTGTAAGTAGATAAATAGGTACCGCTCTGGCGGAAGGTAAACGGTGTTTCTGTGCGCTGCTCTGGTTCGCCAGAAGCGGCTTAGTCATGCTGGCCACATGACCCGGAAGCTGTATGCCGGCTCCCTCGGCCAATAAAGCGAGATGAGTGCCACAATCCCAGAGTCGGTCACGACTGGACCTAATGGTCAGGGGTCCCTTTACCTTTTTACCTCCATATAAGAACGCATGTCACATTATGCAAACCATTATTTATAGTGGACAAATGCAACCTTCCATTGGGTCCCCTGGACTCTTCCCAGGCCACACCACCTCTCCAGGTCACACTCCCCTGTGACCCTGCTCTGCCTCCTTCTTGAGTGCTTTTGTCAGGCTGGAATGTGTCCTTGAAGTGAAATAATGTTTCTTTGCTTGCTTGGGTGGAGAGAAGCGTATCCCTCTGACTTTTGATGGCTGCAATGAAGCCTAATGTACAAAGGTTCCCATTGCTCCAACCCACTTTGGATCTGGCCCTACTCACCACTGGTTTGTGGCCTCTGGAAGGCTCCTTAGGTGCAAATGCAGCCCTCAGGCTGAAAAAGACCTCCACCCCTGCTTTAATGAATGTCACTACCTGCCACCATAATTTGCCCAGTTACAGCTCATATTCTAACTCATCACATGTGACAACTCTTGCTCTCTTTGAATTCTGACATTCTTTACGGATTGTCCCATTA